AAAAAAAAAAACTCATAGCCATCTAGGAACAGAAGGAGAATGTCCTTAACTTGATAAAGGTTATATAGTGTATCTAACCCAATTTTGTGTGTGATCATGACCAATTAGAGTTTAATCAAAGAATTCAAGGATGGTTCAATTGTCAGAAAAATCCATCAACAAATTTCACTGGATGAATAAAGATAAAAATGGTATGATTATATCAACACAGAAAAAAAGCAGTTGATCATATCTATCTTTTATTTTAAAAAGAGGGAAGCAACTTAGTAAACTATTAAACTTCTGTAACTTGATAAATATGTAGGATTGCTTGCTTTACAGAACAGATAGGCTGATCTATATTTATTCTTGCTCTGTGTAAGGTTTTTTATATCCCTGTGTCACCACCACCAGGTGACACTGTCTGACTATATATATATATATATATATATGTATATATTTTTTTGAGACAGAATTCTCACTTTGTCACCCTGGGTGGAGTGCCATAGCATCATAGTTCACAGCAATCTCAAACTCCTGGGCTCAAGTGATCCTCTTGCCTCAGCCTCCCTAGTAGCTGGGACTACAGGTGCTCACCACAATGCCTGGCTATTTTTAGAAACTAGGTCTGGCTCTGGCTCAGACTGGTCTCTAACTTGTGAGCTCAGGGCAATCCACCTGCCTCAGCCTCCTAGAGTTCTAGGATTACAGGCATGAGCCACTGTACCCAACCTGTGATAGCTCTTTTAAAGAAATCCTCTGGCCTGGCTTAGTGCCTATAGCTTAGCAGCTAGGGCACCAGCCACATGCACCAGTACTGGAGGGTTCAAATCCAGCCCGGGCCTGCCAAACAACAATGACCTACAACTAAAAAGTAGCAGGCATTGTGATGGGCACCTTGTGATGGGCACCTAGTTCCAGCTACTTGGGAGGCTGAGGCAAGAGAATTGCTTAAGCCCAAGAGTTTAAGGTTGCTGTGAGCTGTAATGCCATGGCACTCTACCAAGGGCAACATAATGCAATTGTCTAAAAAAAAAAAAAAAAAAAGAAATTCCTCTGGTCACTGAGTTTCACTTAATATACAGAGAGTGCTCCCTCCACACACCAAAATATACATTTTAAGAAAGGAAAAACAAACCTGTATTAAAATTATAATATTCAAGTCATGTTTGACTTCTGCACTGCAAGAGGTATAAGATACAATATCCCAGATAATAAATTGATCTGTACATATTATTACAATTTTAATATATTTCTTTTCTTAAAATGTGTATACTTTTTTTTTTCCAGCATCTTCTGTACTTGTTATACTTTTGGGTTTCTCTTCAATGAATTATCAATTCTTTATTCTTTGTTTATTTTTCTTTATGATTCAGCAGTTTTTTACACCAATATATTGAAGGTATAAATCCTTTGCTGGTCTTAAACATTCCAAGGCTCTTCTTTAGCCTGTCATTTACTGGACTGAGTAAAAACCAAGCGATTTCTGTTCTGGAAACTGTTTTCTTTCTTTGTTATTTTACTGTTGAGATATACCAATAAGACCAAACAGAAAAAGATATTTAAAATTCTTTCCAGACATAAAGAAAAAGAACTCACCCATCAAATACAAATATACTATTTTATTCTAAGGGAATAATTTCTGTGGTTTCTGCAAGGGGTAAACCAAAAAGTGGTTAAAAACCAAAAAAATAACAGAAAGGATGGTTTAGATGGTTCTCTTTTTTGTTTGAGGTTTTTTTTCTCTCCTGGAAAAAAAAATGTAATTTTACACAATTTTAGTAAAATTTCAAAGCAAATATCTGGACATACACATCAACAGCTACACTTATGAGGAATGACCAATAATTAATCAATATTTTCTCTTATGAATTAATTTAGGGTTCTGGGCAACTCTGTGGACTAACATGCAGTTGAAATCCTGATCCAGTCATTATCTGAGGATTGGTTGTTCGCAGTTAAAAGATACAGATTTTTCTGTGGTATTATAACAATTTATCTACTATGCTAACAATATTTATTTTTTCATACAACTACAGAAGGGGAAAATGTTAGTGTTTATACAAACCATAGAATTTGTATAGGGGACTATTACACCTGATGTTTCTGGATATTTTATTGGCAGACTTATCAGACAATCCAATTGTTTTCCTCCATATCAAACAAGGGATGGAAGTAATAAGTTTTCCAGTCAGAAATGACAGACACAGATGGAATTAATCACACAGAATTTGGGCTGATTTACTTCTTTCACACAGTTCTTGGTAACAAAAATTGAGATTTGTTACAAGCAGAGGGACAGAGCCATCAAGTACACAATGTCAGAAAGTCTACTTAGTAATTTTTATTTTACTTAAATGACTTTCATTTGTTAAAAAACAAACAAACAAAAAAACCCCTGCCACTCTCTTCTAAAAAAAGGAACATACTGAAAAGTCTTTAAAATTAAAATTTCTAAGAGGTTTTTGACTTTTTCAACTTTTTTCACAGGGTTAAATTAACCTCAGCTAAAGGAAGCCTGTGATTGGCCAACATGATAAAAGCTTTGATTCAAAATTTTGTGGGGAAGAGAAGAACGGAGATGAGGGAGATGGACTGATATGCCACATACACCTATGACTCGCACTCCTCATAGAACTACTAAAATAGCTAGAGTTTGGAATAATGCTCTAAGAAGACCTGTCTGTGGATATGCAAGACAGTCAATGTCTTTGTATCCTAACTCCAGAATCCCTATTTTTTAGGTTTCATAGGGCATCAAGGTCATCTTCCAAAGGCTTTATATAGGAACCTAGTAGGACCTTTCTACCATAATTCAGATAGCTAAGTAATACTGCATCTTTGTGGAATCACTCACAGGTTTGCCAGAGTTAAGGAGAGAGACTATTTTTTTGAAATGACAAGGGCCTCCAGAAACTGCTGCAAAAGACAAAATAAGAGGAATTTTTTTGGGAAATAGGAAGGTAAAACAAATGGGAGAGAAGCTGCCATTGGGGACAAAATGAAAACAAAGGAGAACCCCCATTTCTGTGTACCACAGCTCAGGCTATGAGACAGCAGCAATAAAGGCCTGTACCCAAAGAAGTGGGCATTTTAGTGGGTTTTCTACAAACATTTCAAGACACTTGGGGTCTAACAGGCTCCACAGATTTTCTGTGTGCATAATTAGTTTGTGGAATATCATCTCCTTTACCTTAGTTTACCCACATACAGACCTACCACTGAGAAGCTAGACCCAGAGAGTGAAAGGGACGCGCTCACTGTGAACGCAGTGAAGGTCATTTTCCCTGATGCGAGGGGCCCAGGCAAAACCACCAGAGGCTTCTGTCCTTCACAAAATTGGCTTGGCAATGAAAAATCAAAATCAAGACCACTTTACTATCTGTTTTAAAAAGTTGAGTATTTTTATTGGGTCGCCAAGTCTGGGTCCCACAGTCCTCACGTGATGTTACTCTTAGCTCTGTACTTATCTCTCCCCTGACTTTTACGGAGGGCTCGCCCAAGTAGCCTGTTGAAGCCAAGGTTTCACTCCAAAGCTACCTCTCTAAGGTCTAAGGTTACTATGGTAGAGTTTTATACAACAGTTTTCCTTAAAAATATTCCACAATTTGTTATTCCCAAACAAAATAAGATTATGCACCACTCAGAGAAATTGGTTAGTCATTCTGAAGATGTCTAAGAACTATATCACTGCCAAAGGACATTTCTCAGTTCATATTCTTTCCTTCAATTTTCATTTGTACATCCACACTGTGGGGTTCGCGAGTCATCTGTTTTCCATTATCTTATATCAAGTCAAGAGGACTTGGACTTATACATCAGTTTCCAGCAGCTGGATGCATTCACAGTTTGGTGCATATCAACATGTACGAAAATAGGAACCTCACTTCCATTTTAATCTGATAATTCAACATCAGAGTCTTCAGATTTGGCTTTGGCAAGTTCTTCATGTACCTCCCTCACCATGAGAATACGTGTTAACATGGTGTCCAGGGTCCCAGGATCTACTGGGAATGTGGAGTACCACATGGGGCTATTTGGGACACAGGCGCGCTCAGGTTGAAGGTAAAATACATCAGTCCTCTGCTTCACACTTTCAGAACTATACACAGGAAAGAAAGAAAAAAGAAAACTGTAAATCGGAGAATATGGGAAATATGAACTGTTCTTAAATATAATGGCTCTCAACTTCCTCACCCCTGTGACTCACAATGGGGAAAGCAGGGTACCCACAGGGAAAAATAAGTTTATATGTATACTTCTCCCAGGAGTGAAGTGTACTCACACACTCAAGAAATTACACTGGATTGGGAGTATAATATTAATATAAGACTAAGTGTATTTCACAAACTTTAGTACTGAAAATATTATTAAGAATAACACAAAAGTGGCTCAGTGCCTGTAGTTTAGTGAGCAGGGTGCCAGCCACATGCACTGAGGCTGGTGGGTTCGAGCCCAGCCCAGGCCTGCTCACTGGGCTACAACAATGACAACAATGACAACTACAACCAAAAAACAGCCGGGCATTGTGGTGGGCGCCTGTAGTCCCAGCTACTTGGGAGACTGAAGCAAGAGAATCACTTAAGCCCAAGAGTTTGAGGTTGCTATGAGTTGTGATGCCACAGTACTCAACCGAGGGCGACAGCATAGTGAGACTTAGTCTCAAAAAAAAAAAAAAAGAATAACACGAAAGTCAACTCACATGTGACACTATGACTGAGAACCACATATCCTAAATGCCCAATATCCTGTAATGAACCCCAAAGGCTTAGCTTAGCACACATTATCAAAGGGCAAAACCAGCCATTATATTTTAGCAGAAATAGAGCTTTAGCGTGAATCTTACAACTCTAAAATCCTCGGTTTCTTTAAGAAAACAACCACTGAAAAAAATTCAATTCCTTAAAAATTGTTTTTCTATTTATATGCTTACTAAAACAATCTCTTCTCAAAATTTCTTTTTCTATTTTTATTTTTTTGAGACAGAGTTTCATTATGTCACTCTTGATAGAGTGAGGTGACATCATAGCTCACAGCAACCTCAAATTCTTGGGCTTACGCAATTCTCTTGCCTCAGTCTTCCAAGGAGCTGGGACCACAGGTGCCCACCACAACACCTGGCTATTTTTTTTTTTTTGGAGACAGAGCCTCAAGCTGTCCCCCTGGGTAGAGTGCCGTGGCATCACAACTCACAGCAACCTCCAACTCCTGGGCTCAAGTGAGTCTCCTGCCTCTGCCTCCCAAGTAGCTGGGATCTCAGGCGCCCACCACAACGCCGGGCTATTTTTTTTGGTTGTAGCATCATTGTTGTTTGGCGGGCTCGGGCAGGATTCGAACCCGTGACCTTAGGTGTATGTGGCCGGCACCTTAAGCCACTTGATCCACAGGCACCGAGCCCCTGGCTATTTTTTGTTGCAGCTGTCACTGTTGTTTAGCTGGCCCAGAACAAGTATGCACCCACCAGGCTTGGTGTATGTGGCTGGCGCTGTAACCACTGTGCGATGGGTGCCAAAGCCTCAAAATTTATTTTCTATATAAAGAATACAGTCACTGCAGACTAGGTATCACATGAAGGTTGTACAATAGTTGTAAAGTTCAAACAATAGCAATGATTTTTGCTTTTGAATAAATTGCCTAGAAAAATCATTAAGGCAATTCATTTCTCGGTTCAAAATCCATGCACAAGGAAAAATGAAATTAAATGTAAATGCTAGTGTAAATTCACACACCAGAGACTTTGCTGAAAGTATCTGAAATCCAAGGTATGCTAATTGCTTTTGGGAGTGTACTACATCTAGTTCAGAGGAAGTTCACTTACCATTTTGACAGGTAAAACTCATAAAGTCGAACTGGGCATCTTAGTGGGTTGTCAGTATTCTCTGCCATCTCCACCCCTACTGAAACCTCATCATCTTCATTTCGTTTCCTCTTCCCAACAGTTACTTTATCTTGAGACAGGAAATAATAATCAAAGGATTATATTAGAAAAGCCCAAGACATCAATGAGCTTTGTTTCAGCCAGTGTCATTCCCTCCCTCTTACTCACTCACTTAACTTTTTTAAGTTGACCACCCAACTGGTCAATACACAGAGGTAGCCAACGTAAGGCACTAGGCCTGCTGTACTGAAACGCACATGTGGTATATGTCTGGTCTATGAAAATTAGGTCAACTTAAGGAGATGGTCAACTATGAAGGTTCTACTGTATTTGCCAAGCTCCTATGCAGGTGCCTGACATTATTCTAAAGTGCTGGGTTTGTAGTATTAACAACATAAAGCCCTTATCCTACGAAATTTATGTTCCCCTGCTCACGAGAGAAGGGGCATTGTGGCAAAAAGTAAGGTGTATGTCATCTCTATTCTCAGCCTGGCTTTTTTATAATAGACCTTATCTGCAAGATAAAGCGGGAAAAAGGGTTCCACTTGTTATTCTCCTACATGAAGACAGAAGTTGTCTCCCTTTACCTGAAAATATTTCTACCGTAGGGTACCAGTGTCTCCCGGGTATTTGCTCAAGTTTCCTTTTTTTTTTTTTTTAAAGGACACTGGGTCTTGTTCTGTTACCCAGACTAGAGTGCAGTGGCATGATCATAGTGCACTGCAGCCTTGAACTCCTGGGCTCAAGGGTCTTCCTGCCTCATTTTATTTTTTAGAGATGGAGTTTCACTATGTTGCCCAGGCTGGTCTTGAACTCCTAACGTCAAGTGATCCTTCCACCTTAGCCCCCCACAAAATGCTCCATAGGTATGAACCTAGGATTATAGATATGAATCACCACGGCTGGCTCAAAGTAGATTACATGTGAATAAAACCAAGGAAATAGGACTTAAGTAAAGAAGCAAGATAATATATATTTTTTTAAATAAAGGAGCAATTCAGAAAAAAGTTTACATAATGTTGAATATCACAATTATTCTTTACAGATTTTAGTTTCAGTAGTTTTAAATTCTTACATTTGAAAAAGATATTTTGGGAAAATACTGTAAAGGCTATGTTGACCAGTTTGATGAAAATATTTCACACTGTATATAAAACCAGTACATTGTACCCTATGACTGCATTAATGTACACAGTGATGATTTAATAAAAAAAATAAATTAATTAAGAAAAAGATATTTCACTCTTGGAAGTAACTCTCAGAATTTCAGTACTTACAATTCTGGTCAAAATTAATAAATTTCATTTCTAATTCTTCAATGCCGATATTAATTTTTTAAACATTAAAACCAAACTTTTACTTAGTAGGCTGTTT